CACATGTAGATTTGCACACTTTATAAGGCCACAAAAACTCATTTTTTATCAATTTATGAAATGTCCCATGAGCCTTTGCTACTTGAGAGTATGGCAGACTTTCTCCAAGTGCACAGACTAAAACAAAAGAGGGCCATTGCATTGCTTAATCGTTAAAAATAAAGGACTTTATTTTTGAAAAGTATTTGTATTTCATGTATTTAAATAACTGCATTCGGCCCGCAGCCGTGGATAGATTTTCATTTTGGCCCTCTCGGGGAAAATGTTTGGGCACCCCTGCTCTAACTCATCTGTTTTTACTGGAACTCATCTGTTTTTACTGTAACCCATCTGTTTTTACTGTAACTCATCTGTTTCATCAGTAAAGAAAATAAAGCTCCTTTAAAAACCAAGTGTTTTGTTATTTGACCTTTCTGATGAAATGAGAGTGAAGCTGGCGTTGTTTGACTGTAGCTGTGTTTGCTGTGATGCTCCTGTGTGATGGTGTGTTTCTGCTCGTCCTGCAGAGCTGTCTGAGGATGGACCCGGCCGAGCGGCTGAGCTGTGAGCAGCTGCTGCAGCATCCCTACTTTGACAGCATGAGAGGCCAGAGCGAGAGCCGCAACAACAACAGGAGGACACATTTACCTCGCAGACACCTGCTGCCTGGGGTGAGCACCGTCCCCCCGGAGCAGCAACTGCTCCTAAAGACTGCTCTGAAAAAATACTCATCTCAAACTGATATTCAGAAACTTTACTCTCACAGTGTGTTAACAAATATTATGACAGAAATGTGATGTGTATTTGGAGTTAACTACTAGCTCAGACCACAAAATAATCCTAAATACAAAGTATTAGGAGCAGGGGCGGAGCCAGGTGGTGGCCAGGGGTGGCCATGGCCACCACAGACAAATCTTTGGCCACCCTGCTGCACACACCCCTTCCACAGTGAAACAACCTTTAGGGGTGTAATAAATCCTCCTGTACAGTTGGTGGCAGTGTTTAACAGTTTGAAACATCACCAAGCTCTATCACTGAAGAAGAGTAATGACAAAGAAGTGATGGTTTTCTTTATATACAGAACCTACACCTGTAATCTGACTTATGGTGACAAATGTTTATTTATTTATTTATTTATTTATTTATTTATTTATTTATTTATTTATTTAATGAAGGCTGCATGATGCTCTGTGTTTATTATGAGTAGACCTATCACTAAATCAGAAAAAGTGAAACACATCTCTAAATTCACTAAATTCACTGGGTAAAATTTATAATGTTAGTTTTAATGATAATGATTGATGTTGCGTGTCTGCACTGTGTTAAAATATCAACATATGACATACTTCCATGTGTGGCTGTGTGATATATTCATTCTGAAGCTGAATTAAAGCAGTAGGTTAACTCGCTAATTGTGAACATGTGAGTTTGTTAATAAACCAGCAGCACAACTGTGATAAAATACTTTTGTGTGGGAACGCAAAAAGAAAAAAATCCCCCATGTCCCCTCGTGGGCTCAGTATGTTTGCATTGTTTGTACGTAAATTATTTTTTAATTTATTAACCTTTATTTAACCATGTAGTTTTAATGTTTTTATTAAATAAGGCAGCAGGAAAAAGTCATATTATCACATTATATTTTCTTTAATTGCCTCCAGCCCCTTGGCAAACATGACCATAATGTTTGTTTGTCTGCTTAGCAAAATACTTCCTGAACCATTTAATTTTAATGATTTGGATGAAACTCAGTCATTAGATTGAAATTTGCAGCTGTCTGTCTTTGCCTTCAGCCTAATTCATGAAGGCCACCAGTTAATCAAGTTTAGCAAATAAAAAATATTTGTGACTTTGTTGAGATAAAGTTGATGCAGCAGCAGAGTCGCTCAGAACACAGTGAGTGTGTTTTAAAGTTTTAATTTATAATCTTCAGATGCTTTTAACGTTGACATGAAAGATATTAATTTAATTTCTGTATCAAACCTCAGATCTGACACAAATGAAAAAGTCACTATAATACAGTTAACAAGTTCAAAGTGACCATTTCTAAAATAATCTTTTGCACTAAAAGTCAAATGACTAAAAATATATGTATATACTATATATA